TCCGAACCCACGATTAGGTAATTAGTAGGTATGGTCTATATAAATATAGATAGACGATACTATTTAATCGTAGGTTCGGAATCCGGGGTCATCTTTAGCGCCAAAAACCGGAAAATTTATGTCACCCGTGAGTTCGTGTTGAAACACTGAGCGCTCGGAGCATCTTTCATCTTTTTTTTTTTTTTGATGAAAAGAACAGGGAGCAGAGATAAAAAAACAATATAGCAGCTCCGACCGTCTACTCGAACTTTCCAAAAAAACATCTTATTCATTGAAAAAAACTTGAAACAAATATAAATCCATTTAAAATTGTCCTAATAAATAGCTTTGACTTTTCATGACATTTTTTATATTATATAATAGTATATTGAAGTTTGAGTTTAAAACACGCGCGATTTTTCATAGAGCAAGTTTCTTTACAGATACACGTCATACGTGTAATTACATATTATTAGTAGGTAGGTACCTATTTGAAGAATTGAGAATTGACTTAGCAGGAAAACAAACTTTATACAATTTGTAAAACAATTATCAACTTAAATAATGAAAAAGAAAACCTTGAAATCTGAAACTTTAATCATAAAACTTTTCTGTGTCTATAGTATTTTTAAAATGAAAGTTAGAGGAAGCATTTTCCAACTCTCGAAGTTCTTTATGTTGTTTATAGGAATTTGGAAAATTCCTTTCGCACCTACATGGCTCTACTATTGCTATACTAAATATTCACAGATAATTCATGGTACCTTTTATCTATTTACATCTTCTTTGCTTCTCAAGACCTTATTGATCGCCTTAGGCTTTGTTGAGACTGATAATATTTTCAACTCAATCTCAGTCGCAGCGATATATGTGGAAATGGCATTGAAAATTATAATTTTTATTAACAATGGATTGCCGCAGATGTTCGAACATATTATGGAAGAAGAAGAATTGGTACTTGAATCTTCAAACAAACAAATTTTGAAATACTACAAAGAGCAGAGTGATATTTTCTTTTATCCTGTATTTATCTAACGACGAGTTCAATTTTATCAGTGTATTTTTATCTAGGCAGTAACTTGCTATTATTTCCAGTATCATCAAAAGATTTTATGTACGACTTATGGATACCTTTTCCGATTAGTTGGCAAGTTGTTGTAATTTTTGAATTACACATCTGTAATTTTGCGATATTTGTGCACACCGCCAATCATATTTCAATTCAAAGTATTTTAATTTTCGTATCCGCACATTTGCATATATTACAAATAAATATTCGTGAATGGTTTGAAAAAGGAAATACTAATGTGGAAATTGATGTTAAATTGAAGAAAATAGTTCAGAGACATCAGTATCTTATCGGGTAAGATTAGGTACCATGTGATTGTCATAGAATAGTGGAATAGTGAATGTCTATATTTTTCAGGAATACCTGCAAATGTCAAATGTGAAAGTTGTTGTTGTTGCAGGTAATCAGGCCTATGATGTATCCACTCCTGTTATTTTAACAGCTATGTTATAGCTCAACATCTATACTCCGCTCTATTTTTACCTATAGAATGAACAGTGACAGGCAACTTAACGTTGCTGTTGAAATAACAGAAAATGATATATCATAGGCCTGAATATCAGAAAAATTTCAATGAAGTTAGTTACAAGTATATAGGTTGTCACAAAACTGTGACAAAGCAAAGTTAAACTTTTTAGAATGGAGTTCCCCGGATATTATTGACCCAGTGGATTAGCCTTTCAAACCTGATTCCAAATATACTAGGTTTTTCAGGTTTATTCCTACTACTCCAGGAGAAAATAAGAAAAAAAAGGTGGAATAATTGCATTTTGATTCAAAAAGATGAAGTATACAGACCACCAGCCAAATTTAACGGTAATCATTCGAGTAAAAAAACCATATTATTTCTTCAAAATGGGATAGTCAGAGGCTAGACTATGAGGAATAAACTTTAAAAACCTAGTATATTTGAAATCAGGTTTGGAAGGCTAATCCAATGGGTCGATAATACATGGGATGTTCCATTTAAAAAATTATAACTTTGCGTCGCCACACTTTTCTGACACATCCTGTATACTTGTAACTAACTTCATTGCAAAGTTTCTGATATCACCTACAACTTTCTAACTTTCATATTTGTCATTTCTGGGTATCTCTGCATACATGTGAGATAGGTGTGGGTGCAAAATTAATATAGACAATCACCCAGTACTTTATTTTATTTATTTCATCAAGAATTGGGATTTCTGAGACATTCCAGACAATTAGGCACTAGCTGACGTCACATACATAACCACTTCCGTTGGGGGGACAAACAAAGCGTTTGAAAGGTCCATTAAACACATAGGCGCTAGCTTGTCACCAATGACATAAGGTGACTTTCGATAGGGGGACAAACATGTCATTGAGGTTATGTGTGGGACGTCAGCTAGCACCTTATGGTTTCATGTACGAGAAGCATAAGCTAGATGATGATCATTTTGACTTGTTTATAGATATAGGACTGCTCCAATAGCAACATCATGAAAGCGTTAATACAAAAGGATATTGTGTAAAGTCTGGGTATATAAAAATTGGGAAATTGACAAGTAATGTTTATCAAATGATTAAAAAAAGATATGCAATAGCAAGTTCCAAGTACCAACTGAAGGAAGCATTGGTCAACGCTTGAAGGCTATGTTGTTTGTCGGTGTGGACAAATAATGCAAATTAACTTCTCCAAATCAAATAGATCCTAAATTGGGAAATAAAATATATCATCATCATCACTATAGGCAATCACTCGAAACCGAGTATGATTATCTTTTATTCCGTTCTTCGCAGTCTTGGCACACCCAGTCTGTGGCAGCGGCAGCCTTGTCTCTTCCTCTGTATTTTCACTTCTTCTTACGGTCCCTCTTTTCGGTCTCGTAAAGTTTGTGGTCCGTGGTAAAGTACTCGAGGGCCTATCATTTGCCGTCGTCTCCCAGTTGCTGGTATTTATGCGGCACTTTGTCATATTTTCCTCTAGAACATATTTGTAGCGTTTTTGTTGACCTCCTTGATTCCATTTTCCCTCTTTCAGTTGACTGTAGAGAATTTGTCGTAGAAGAAGTGTTTCGGGCATGCGGACGAGGTGACCTGTCCAGCGAAGTTGGTGGCTAATGATGAGGGCTTCCATACTAGTTGTTTTGGCTTACTCCTAAAAACTAATGTTCGGTCGTCGGTCTTACCAATTCAATCCGTGGGATCCTTCTTAGGCATCGCTGGACGCTGGTGGTATTTTTCTCGACTCTTTATGTGTTTTCTGTAGGTGGTCCATGTTCCCCAGCCATCTTATGTGAGTGTTGGCATTACAACTGCATTGTAGACGCGAAGTTTGGGCTTTGGACTGATGAACCATGCACCATGAAATATTGTTCTTGACGATTCGTTAAACTGATAGATGCATGCTTGCTATGTCCTCAATGCCTGGAAGATCATCTATGCCCTGTAATTTTGATCTGAGACGTCAGATCTATGATGCTGAGTACTTAGCACTCTTAGCTCTGCTTATATTTCATCTCCCAATTTTACAGAGGCGTTTCTAAGCATTTTAGCGTCATGTATAGTGAACCAACATTTGGTCAGAGAGCCCGAGCTTGTTTCTGAATGCCCATTTATTGACCTGTTCAAGGGCCATATGTTAATTCTCCTTTCAAGTTCTGGTCTTGAGTTTGTAAAAGAACAAACACTTAGTTACACGGAAAATTAGAGAATATAAAAGCATGAAAATAATGAAGGGCATATTTGCAAGTGGAAAAAAAATCTTATCTTCAAACTGAGAGATGAAACCGGAAAAGAGAAATCCAACAGGGACATGTTGGTTCACATAGCGGAAACATTTTATGAAACTTTATATAGACACAGTTAATCCAATAAAATATTTTGAGGGAAAAATCGAAAAGAGATCGGAAGATACATATTCCTGATTCTCCATGGATGAAATCCAAACTGGTCTAAAAAAGATAACGAAAAAGCTCCAGCACTACTTCGAAAGATTGAAACTCTTTTCAATCTATGCCGGCATAGTCAAAATATCCCCGATTACTAAAACCACTCAGTTATGAAATTGCTTCATAAAGAGGCGATAGAACAGACTTTGAGAGCTACAGACCAATTAGGGTACATAACCACCTATACAAACTGAACATGTGCATGATAATCGACTAGAAGCCAAACTCGACTTCCATCATCGTGAGAACAGGCTGGCTTCCGATGCGGTTTGATACAAACTACCATCTTCAGTTTCTAAAAAGTCTTATATATAGAAAGCAGTATTGAATACACCGGAAACGCAGGAAAGAGCGAGATATCATAGAACCTATAATATGAATATTCTTGTTCATGTAACTGAGCCTAGGATAATGCATTCATACGTTAAGCCAATGAAACTGCATACATTAAATTGAAAATTCGATTCATTACACCAATGTTATTTGTACATTATATTGAAGAAGTTATTTCACTCAGGCAACGAATTCTATACTTCAAAATGATAGAATCCTTACTCTGCGACAATTAATTCAACCGTTAAATCATTGACTCTATTAACGAACAGCTTTCCATAATATTAACAAATTCGTTCACCGGCTCAATATTAATGACGAGATTCACTGCTCAATGCACTTTTTCGTTATATTTGTGTACCTTTTTTTTTCAGTGTTGAAACAAACAGAAAAATAAATAAATATTTACAAAATATTGTTGAAAAACGGTTTAAGCGGTCGAAAATTCTGCCTTGAAAGTAATAATTCTTATTATCTAGAAATTTGTTTGGGTTCGTTTGGGTTGCTCAATTTTATGCATATCTTGAGCGTTCACTCAAATCAATACGGTGCTAATATAATATCACTTGTTTCCAATCTTTGGTTAACTTGTTATATTGTTATGTGCTTAATTATTATCATAGGATTTTTTTATTTTTAGGTTTGTAAAAAATTTGAATGACTCAGTGAAGTCCATAATTCTACTAGAATTTGTCTTGGATTCTGTCAATTTGGCTGCCGGAATGGTGCAAATTATTACAGTGAGTTTGTTTGCTGATCGAATGAATTTCGTTTGATTTTTAATTAAAACTTTCAGGCTCAGTCTGTAGTTGAAATGATTTTCTCGGTCATTTATCTGGCTCTATTAATTTCACAACTATTCATATTGGCCTGGAGTGCTAACGAAATTAATGTTCAGGTAAAATATTCCAGAAACTATAGTAGATTCAAATTTCACTTACGTTCGATGTTAACAATGGGTATAGTGAGAGTGGTTATATTCAGTGTATTGTTAAATTTTCAATTAATTAACTGTAATGGTTCAAGCTAAACTCAAACTATAACACTCGAACACTTGCCAATTGTTCACATCAGCCGTAAGCGCAATTGATCGTCTATTATTTGCAAATTTATGTATAGAGTTCCAATATTTCGAATGCGATTTACGAAAGTAACTGGATGGATCAAAGCGAGTCCACAAAAAAGACCATGCTTATTATGATGATGCGAGCACAGAAACCATTGTCATTAACCATTGGACCATTTGGACCGATGAATTTGGACGCTGGAATAATGGTGAGTTGTTATTATTGCTAAGGTTTCAGATAATTTTTTTTCTTTTAGACGTTGAAAGGAGCTTACACTTATGCAGGAGTTATGCGTCAAACTTACAGTTAAAGCGACTTAATAAAAATTAAAAACTAATTTTGCTAGTTGACACGTAGGTAAAGAAAAATTGAAAAATATTTTGTTTCTTAATAAAACTATCTAATATAAGCACAAAATAAAAAAAGCATTTTTTGTGAATCCCGTAAACCTTTCCTGTCGGTGTCCAACCTATAGATAGGTGAAGACAGGAATTTTAAAATTATTCTACTTTTTTCAAGCCTTTAATGTCTGATAAGTGTAAACATTTGAAGCTTATTGAATAACAGATTCCTATTCATACAAATTAAAACTGAAACTAGAAGAAAGGCCCTGAGAAATTTATTGTGAAAAAACACGCATGGAATTTTTTACTGTGCCTGTTGCCTTATTTAATTCTAGTGTTGGAATTCAACCATAAGGGGATATTTCTAAGAATAACATAAAGTAGACGAGCATCGGCGTAACAATATTCCCCTTATTATAAGCAGGTTTCTTTGGTGTCAAAAGCTTTGGCGGTTCCAGCGCCGGACTCACTATATATCCACTTACGATGTTCTGAAATTACGGATTCTGCGGATCCAATAAATTTAATCCGGAAGTCTCTAGAATCAGTTGTTTACTTGAACACACAATAATTCCCGAATACTCGCAGTCTGTTGTGATGGTAAACAATCTCGCGGGCCTCTCGGCACCGCGATGTTGTTTCGTAACACTGCCTCTTTCTCAAATCAAATTGTCCCTCTGAACATCTATTTCGGAATGAGCTTTCTCAACCTGTCAAGATGTACCACCTTCATCATACCATTGTGGCCGCGTTGAATTTGATACACCACATCATTTAGTTTGTTTTTAATCGTGTACGGTTCATACTGGTGTTAAGTTCAGAGATCTAACTTTCTTCCTTTAGTGGTTATAAAGCCAAACTCTGCCATTCTCCTGGAAACTTGCATAGATCCCCTTAAGATCATTATATCTCGTTTTGATTCGGTCCCTTGTGGACTCTGTCCTTTCTCTAACTATTTCGTAGATGTCAAGCAACATTTTTTGCAAATCGTCAGCATATTTTTCGACATCCATGTCGGCGACGTCTGATGACCCAAACACTAGGTCACAGGGTAAACGGGGCTTTCTTCCTAACAACACCCTCTCTGGTGTTGCATTATCAAAAATAGAGGTGAATGCTCATCCCAGTCTACTTGTCAGGTTCCGACACAGAAGTTAAAATTGTAAAAGGACAGCGACGACGAGAATAAAAAGCACTACGACACGACGAGAATTACAGATCTGTACAAGAAAAAGGTCACAAATAATATAAAATTTTAATATATTACACGTAGTTAAAATGAAATAATTCTCTCGAGGACCGCCAGAGAGTCAAGATTTAAATATAAATATAAATTTTTGAATTTTCCTCTGTATTTTAGGTACTTGATTATTGGAAAATATAAATTGTTCTTTCAACGATTTAGTGTTATTAGGTGTTCTAGTGTTCATTCATTTCAATAAAATTCACAGGAAAATTAAAAATTTATATTTATATTCAAATCTTGACTCTCTGGCGGTCCTTGAGAGAATTATTTTATTTTAACTACGTGTAATATTTTTAAAGCGATACCCCATGGACTTAATTTCGAAATCCGGGAATGATTCTGAGATGTGTCAACTGGATGTCCATGGGATATCCTTTGAATCATATGCCCAGTGGATATTCAAGTATTTTTGTTGGGTCGTTCGCCGAACATCCACTGGATGTCTTATGGATCTATTTGTGTTATCTGGGAACGGGCTGGAGAATTCAACATATCTTGTCACTGATTCGAGGACGAGTAAATATGTCTTGTAATTTTTTTTTTTTCAGAAGTTTTTCTCATGACTAACGGCGCACATATCCAGGTTAACAAGGCATACTATCCACATGAATCCTCGTAATACGATTTCAGCTTTCCAAAAGTAGCTAGGGATCTTTTTCGTGCGGTAGTCAGAAAATCGCTTCTTATGAGATATCTCGGACTATAATGTCCTTGCAACTATCATTGTGTTTTATTCACTTCAAAATCAATTAATATTTTCATTCATTTTGTACAATTTACGAATAGTGCGTTGAACGTTACATGATTTGAATTGAAATTTGATTGTCAAAATTCGAGAATATTTCAGAATTACAGATACATAGTCTAAAAATTGCAGCAAAGTTTCTACTAATTTGAAAACGTATCCATGACTCGTTTATACCTAAAGTTTTTTTGATGATAATGAGAATATAAGCAAGCTGTTGCCTACATAAAGAAATGCTGCTGATTGATATTGATGTTAAAGTTTGATGAATGAAGGTGTAAAGTAATTTTACTTTGTTTCTAACAAGATTCAATTACCGATGTTTCTGCTGATATAGGAATAAATATTATATCGATTGGTAAAGTCTGGGAAAACAATTATGCCTAAATAGGTAAATGGCACTATGAAATATATCTTATAAATATTTAATGGAAAACTTAAATGATAAAAAATTTGGTTTAGAGTTTGCTGTTTTATTATTAAGGTGAATAATTATTATTTTACAAACTGCAACAGTATAAAGTTTGTTTTCCTACAATATGAATTTTCCAAACACTAATTACGTCAAATTACATGCATGACGTGTATAGAAAAGTTTCTGTTCTAAAAGTTCAAATTACTACATGTGACAAAGCATGTAAACTTAATTATTTATATATACAATATCGTGGAAGATGCCTATTGGAAGGATTTGTTTTTGTTTATTTTTTTCTTTAAAAAAGATTGAATTGTTTTTTAATAACTACAAATTTTCGATCTAGATGTTCTGGATCTGAAGGTTGGCTTCAATTAAATCTTTTTAAATGTAAAGTCCTAGAAAGATCGAACTTTCTTTCTGTATAGAACTTGTTTTGATCGTTGACTAATCCCTTTTACATTGTTCGGTTTGATAACCTCTCCACATTGTTTGTTCTCAAAATATTTTTTTAACTGAGAAGAGAAGGCAGTAGACGCCTTAGAATAGTGTACTCTAGCTAAAAACCAAGGAACGCTTGTGAGGTTAACAATGGATTCTCACCTAAACCCTTAAGAAGTTGTTTCAAATTTACCCTCACCATCATGGTATTTGAACAGAAATGTTCCACTTATTTCTGCGCCTGAGCACAGTTATCTAGGATAATATACATACTCATGCGTCATTCAAATTATTGAAAAATTGAGCTTTTATTGGCAATTTGGGCTCATCCCATTTGTTCCATCAGTTTTGAAGGCCATTGAAAAAAACGCTTTTTCTATTTAGTTAGCAATAAAACTGATTTTTCGATATTAATCAGATGGATATGATGCAAGAGCAAGATACAAGTTTATCGACTCCAGGTTCCATAAATGGCAGACTGTTAAATAGGTAATCGAAAGATAACCAAGTTTCCGAGAAGCTTTTTGGTGAAGAAAATAGATTCTGCTTTGTTTTATAGTTTAGTCTGGAGTTTTCTTAGATTTCGGTTAAGACTTTTATGGCCAAATGTACATCATAGGCACTCATGTTATGAAAAAAAAAAGGGTATTACATGCTTATTCCGCAGATTGTCATGAAATTATATTTCCCCCTCAAGTAAAAGTACCCCCATCTAGAAATTTATTACTAAGTTGTCATTTCATCTATACTGTTTTCATTTCACTATTTTCCAGTACCATCTAACAATAATTGTGGTTATTGACTTAAACATTTCATAGTATATATCATTACAGATTCCTACACTTGCTTTATAGTACCGATGGTCCTATTACAGATCTCCGCGCTACCTTCCTTTGTACAATTACAATTTCCGCTATTTGGTGGTACCAGGCATTCAGTCAGTAGCAGTACCAGTGTCCCCCGATAGATTCTGTAAAAAATTCAAGTTTTGAATTGGTACGCCCACGTTTTCTGGAAAAGAAAGAATTAAAAATCGTTTTTTTTTTTTTTTTTGTAGAAAAGAGGGCAGCTTTCAAGAGCACTTTGGGAGCCTCTAAGCGTTTTTGCTGATTTAAAACCAAAAATAAGTTTGAGCCCCTAACTCCCAATTGTGGGTTGCTGAGATTATAGCACCACAGTGCCACTATAGGTAGATTTGGTTGTGCGAGTTTTAAAGTGTTAAAGTATCAAATTTGACCGTTTTTTCTACGTGTGCTGTGTCTGGAAAAGGCCAAAGTATTTTGGTAAGTTTTCATTTCCTGCTATTTTTCTTTTGGATAAGTTCTACAACGTTAACGTTCTTTTAGAATACTTCTTTACTATAATATTTGCTGTTTGCTTACCATGTGCAAAAATCTTGCTCTTTTTTTTTAGGCCTTTTTCCTTTAGTCCCTCTTTACTTCCCCTATTGGAGGCCTTGTTTCTCCAGCAAACAATCAAGGAATACCCTGTAAGTCAGTTGGGTCACATGTGTGTGTTGTCCTTGGTCCTGAAATCCTGAAATCATATTGTTGCGTTAAAATGATCTAATAAGGTTCGAGCATCGAAGGACCATAAAAGTAGGCTTGATTGATTGCACAAGGAGTCTTCAGAAAATGTACGTGCTTTATAACTTTTTACAAAAATATTATTAATTATTTTATATCCTACTGAACTATTATAACCATATAAAACCTTGGTTACGATAATCATAAACAGGGTCTTAACTCCCAAGGGAGTTCAGGATTTTCATAACTCCCGCGCGGGAGTTAAGGATATCATAACTCCCAAGGGAGTTAAGGATTTCCATAACTCCCGCTTTTACCTTGAATAGGTAAAACTTTGTAAACTTTATAAAAATAGACAAAATACAGTAAATTCAATAGGATATAAAATTATCTATGTACCACGGGAATTATCAGGTGTTAATACCCACGGGCAATTGGTGTCCCTCGGGCCAGAGGCCCTCGGGACACAAACATTGCCCTGGGGTATTAACACCCTCATAATTCCCTTGATACATAAATAACTATAATAGTCTTTTCTTTTGTTTCTTTGTTTCTACCCACCAATCGTCCATGGATATCTTCTTTATATTTTGTTTGAGGTAGTCTAGGTACCATCAGGTACCTACCTAATAGGTACTAATAACACCCTGTCATTTCAAGGTTCAGGTGCAACCACTAGGTATAGGTAA